TTCAAGGCCAGCCTGGTCTACAAGGTGAGATCCCAGACAGCCAGGACTGTTACAGAGAAACCCTGTCCTGAAAAAACAAAAAAACAAAAAACAAAACAAAAAAGAAACCAATGTAATTGCATTATGCTTTCTGTGCAAGACCTGCATTCTGCTCAAAGGACGGTGGAAGCAGATGGTTTTTGAAAGTCGTGCCTACCTCAATACCCTATAATCAGTAGGTAGAAAGTTCTAACAAGCCTTGAGGTCCCTTGTCCAGCCATTCTGCATTCTGACCGTTATCCATTTCACTAGATAAATCTAGGATTTGTCTTTCTGTCTGTAAATGAGTTCTTTACCCCACCCCAGAGAAACATTCATTTGAAGAAAAAAAAGTCAACTTGTTATCTACATCTGGATTTTGGCTTTATTCATTGACTGCTGCCACCCACTGATAGCCCCCTGCCTCATACTGCTGTCCCATTGCTGATCTTGAAACCAGGCAGTGTAAGTCACCAGCTGTTTTTCATCGCAACGACTGTTGCTTATTTGTGTTTGTGTGCCACAAAGTGAAATTCACTTCTTATTGTGTAATTGTACTTCTGTGAGGTGGTTAAAACAAGTAAGCTCATTGATGTGGGGGAGGAAGTAGTTTCCAGGGTGAAAGGGAGTGGATTCCGTTCTGTGTTCTGACAGACTAACAACATACACTTATTGTTGGCTAATATCTTCCCTTTCCTTTTCAAAGGGACAAGTCCGTGTAAAGTTCATTGCAACTTTATTCAGTAACACAATAAAATTTACATTTCCAATCATGCAAATTATTGAAAATCAGGATGTGACTATGATCTCTATTGAATCACAGAAATCAGAATTTTCTAAAAAGAAACTCATTTGACCTAAGGGGTAAATTTCCTAGAGGCCAAAACAACCTTGTATTGGGCAGGATTCTTTTCCTAACAGTATGTTTTAGCTTGGTGTTTGAATGTATTTAAACAAGTTCATCAAGGAAATATAAGAAATCTAAAGTAGAATCGCAGATTATCTGATTTTTAAAGTGTGTAACTAGTGCCCTAATTCCATTTCTGTTGCCATGACAAAATGTCCTGACAAAGAACAACTTGGGAAAGAAAGGTCTCTTCTTTTTATTTTAATTTATGTGTGTGTGCATGTGACCTTGTCTAAGAAGTCAAGTTAGGATATCTTCTCTGTCATACCCAGCCTTATTTTTTGAGGCAGAGTCTCTCACTTATCCTGAAAACAGCTTTTTCCGCTAGACTGGATGCAGTGAACTCCAGGGTTCTGCTGTTTCTGCCTTACTAGTGTGGGGATTACAGGTGTGTGCCATCATGCTACATACCCGGCGTTTTATGCAGGTTCTGGGGATCCAAACTCAGCTCTTTTTGCTTGCACAGGATGCACTTTATCCTCTCAACCATCTCCCCAGACCCTCATTTTTTAAATTATTATTAAAATGCTCCCATGTTAGGGTGGCCATGTGTGAAAATAGAGTTCATGGCATCTCAAAAGGTCCATGTCCTTCCTGAGCTCAATACAATTCTCCAGTGTTTCCAGTTTCAACTGCCATGCCTCCCATAGAGACGAAATGCTGAGGATGTTGTACTCACAAAGAAAAGAAAAACAAATGAAGTAGCAGCTTGCATTCAGCCTGGGAGAGCTATCTCTTTCCTTAAGCCTGTTCTGAAGCCTACAATCTCCCTGCAGAGATGAGACCGACTGGAGGATGTGGCCATGTCATTGAATCTAGTGAGGACTGGAGGATGTGGCTGTGTCCGAGTCCACAGTGAGGACTGGAGGATGTGGCCATGTCATTGAATCTAGTGAGGACTGGAGGATGTGGCTGTGTCCGAGTCCACAGTGAGGACTGGAGGATGTGGCTGTGTCCGAGTCCACAGTGAGGACTGGAGGATGTGGCTGTGTCCCTGAGTCCACAGTGAGGACTGGAGGATGTGGCCGTGTGCCACTAAATTCACAATGAGGACTACTAAATGAAACCGTTTTGAATGAATAAAATGATGAAACAGAAATGAATGCTTTTATGGATTTTTTTCCTCATTTGCTCTCTGTTAACAAGAATCCATCTTTTAAAAAGGGGGAAAATTGGGGGGGAGGGACTTCAGGAGGATGCAAACAGAATGAGCCATAACCTATTCAAGACCTGGCATTTCCCTACAGGTACATTTTCTCTCAGAATCTCATTTCTCTCCAGTCCTTGTAATTATTTCCTTTTAAAATGTTTACTTATTCCTTTTTTCTTATTTTGCTCATTCCCTTAATTTTTCTGTTGATGAAACCTTTGATACATGGATGGAGCCTTTGAAACTGGGGCAGGAGTTTTTTCTTTAAGTCCAGTTACTTGAATTATTGAGAGAAGCTCTATGCTGCTAATTTTACTGGAAATGTGTGAGAGGAGACTATAGCATGAGAAAGGAGAGCTGTCGTCAGTCTTCAAAGATGCAAATGCCTAGGCTGGGAAGGCGTGTCTTCCTGAAATACTGGCAAAAGCAACTCTAATGCAATGAATAAGCATTTTATTTTGCATGTATTCCTTGAAATATTTCAACAAGGTAAAGAAAGACCTGTATTTGTTTGAAGTCACACACAATCACAATTAAACACAGGCTTAATCTCAGGCTTGTCCATTTACAGCCTGCAAAGCCTCCAGAGTAGTGGTTTTCACCCTTCCTAATGCTACAACCCTTTAGTACAGTTCCTCATGTTGTGACGACCCCAACCATAAAACTGTGCTGCTACTTCATAACTGCAACTTTGCTACTGTTATGAATCATAATGTAAATATCTGATATGAGACCAACCATTGCTCTAGGGATTATGTTGGGTACCTAAACCTGTCTGTTCCATGCAGTAGCCAGCACCCTAGTGTGGCTGATGGGAACTTGAAATTCGGCTAGTGTGAATCAAGATGTGCAATAAAACAAACACACTATACTTTGAAAATGTACTATGAAAAGCAAAATGTGTCAATTTAAAAATAACACTTATATTTATTTATTCATTCATTTATGTGTGTGCCTGCTATGTGCATGTGTGCAGGAGAGGACAGCTTCTGGGTGTCACTTTTCTCCTGCCACCATATTTGTCCCAGGAATCCAACTTAGGTTCTCAGGGTTGATGGCAAACCCCTAATCAACTGAGCCATCTCTCCAGTCCTCTGTTTTTAAATATACATCTCATGTTGAAATGAGCATTTTAGATGTATTGGTTTACATACATGTTTTCTTAAAAATTCATGTCACTTACTTTGGCTGTTTGTCACTTATTGTGGCTGTTAGGAAAACCCCCTTAAAGCTATTTATGAGGCTTATACTATGTTTCTACACAAATAGCATTGACTTAGATGTCCTACTTAGGTTCTCAGAAGTAAAAATTTGAGGTTTTAAAGGAAAGTTTCTAGGAATTAAAATCACCAATGTCTACACTTGATCATTTCTTTCTTCTGAACTTAACAGATTTCAAGTTGATTTAGAGAACGTATTCTGTCTTACATGAACATTTAGGAATCCCACAGGATTATACTGTCCCCTTATTAGAGAAAAAGGCACTGTGGATGAGTTGGGGACCGTATTACAGAACAGCCAGCTCCACGGATCCTAGAGCCACTTCAGGTAGGATGAAGATAACCTGTAATCTCCCTGTCAGTCTATCAATCATCCATCCTTGTGTGCATGTGTGACGGAGTCACTCTGGAGACTTGGTTTGGTAAGAGAACTATGTCTCAGGCAGCCTCTAGACTTCTTTTGGTCCTATCTTTAGCATAGTAGATAGTGGGATATCATCAACTAGAAATAATGGCCTCAGATCTCTAGTGTAAGGACTCCATAATCACATCACTGTGATAGGTTGTGGGCTGGAAGACTCTCTGGAACTGTGTCAGACTTGATAAGGCAACATCAACTAGTTTTACTGTGGGTCTATGAATTTTTTTTCCACTGAACAATAACAAAAGTTACTTCTTCCTTAAGCATTTACATTAATCAAGATTAAGCCCTTAGTTATTTAAGAGTTTAAACTTCTTTGGAATAATTCCCCAAGATTAAAGAAAACTTTGCTTATAAACTGAGCTATTTAGCCTGCATAAACTGGAAAGTACAGGTATGTAACAGAACCCAAAGTGAGGGCCTTTTGTGGACAGGAGTGTCCAAAATGTTAAAAGAAAATTGAAGGATGCAAACAAGCAGAATGGACTTCTGGGAAAATGGACTTCTATATATATGCCCATTGCTTTCTATAAAGAGTAGTCAGATCAGCTCCCTGTTAGGAATAAGGAAAGTGTGCAGGTAGGACCAGGTCATCATCCTTGGATAGACAGCCAGTTCAGTTACACAGAACTCTGTCTTAAAAGGCCAAAATTAAACATTTTAAATACAGAGGCTTCTTTGGCTCTGTATTTACACAGTAAAGTAAGATAAAGGCAGGCATACAGCCCATTTCCAAATAGTGCTAGAGCCAAAAGCTCTTTGACTGTCAGGTGACTAAGCAGCCTTGCTTAGTAGTCTACTAAGATGTGTGTAGACTTTTTCTGTCACTTTCTTAGACAGACTTAAAAGAAAGCTGCCTTCCACTTCCTTCCAAAGCCCTTGTATCAGAGATACTTAAGAACAGAGGCACATTCAAGCCCCAGGTCTTTTGAAGTTATCCTCATTTCTGAGACTGTCATGTAACCCAATTCATTTATCAGCTTTCAAGAGATAATCTAATACTGTTCTGATAAATTGTTGCATATACTTAAAGATAATTATATGTGTGGGTGTTTTGTCTGCATGTCTGTCCACCACATGGTACATGCAATGCCCACGGAAACCAGAATAGGATTTTGAATTCCCTGGAACTGGAGTTATAGATGGTTGAGTCTCCATGTGGGTGCTGGAAATTGAATCTGGATTCTCTGGAAGAGCAGCCAGTGCTCTTAACACTGACTCAACTCTTCACCTCCACATATATTTGATTAAACAATCATTATTTAATCTAAGTTACAGAGTTATACAGGGGAGCCCAAAAGACAAAATTAGGTCAACATTTAAAAATGAGATTAGAAAGCACAACTATTTTAGTGTGTTCCTTTTCTTCTTGCTGTGACCAAACACTTAAAAAACCAAACCAAACCAAACCCACCTTAAGGAAAAATGTATCATATGGTGCAAGAGGCAGTCATCATGGTGAGGAAGGCATGGCAGTGTGTGCGAGGTAGCTGGTCACACTGTACCCAGTGAGGAAGGCATGGCAGTGTGTGTGAGGTAGCTGGTCACACTGTACCCGGTAAGGAAGTAGAGACAAACAATGGTTCTTAGCTTGCTTTCTCCTTTTTATTTAATCTGGGACTTGAGCCCATGTGATGGTGCCATCCACATCTGGGTATGTATTCTCGATTCAGTTATATCTTTCTAGAAACTCCCTTTCAGACATGCTAGAGGTGCATCTCCTAGGGGAGTCTAAGTTGACAACGAGGATGAGCCCCAGTAGCCTTTCCCTAGGACTCAAGTTCTCATGGTGAGAAGAACCTTTGGGAATAGAGGGGCTAGGGAGTCCATCAAAAACTATGTTGCAGGCACCAGGAGGAGAAAAGTTAATGTAGTTTGAAAAAATGTGCCACAGATGCCGTGAAGTTATATGCAAGTTAAAAAGAATTCACGCCTCCTGTAGTGTCAGAGCTCACACTCTATTTCTATACAATGTGTCACTATTCACACCGCCTGTTTCTGTAAGAAAGCCTGAGCCTCTTGTCGTTCTGTCCCGTGTGACAATCACTCCTCACTGTTCCAAGTCCTTGTCCCTTCGTCATGGCTTGTAGAAAATGAGGGCTGTGGGGGTAGTGGTGGACATTTCCTGGAACTCATGAGTCTAGGTAAGGAGTGCCCAATCCAGCAGGGAGAGAGACAGGTGGACCCTCGGAGGGCAGTTTTAATCTCCTGGACCAAAGTTCAGTTTTGTGCATGTCTAAGTGGAGACACTGACTGGTCATAACAAGAAGGATCGCATGGGTTGACCAGGGTGAGGTAGGACTGTCCACAGGATTATGAGGAATGTGGTGGGGGAGGCAGTGTACAACATTCAAAGATTAGACATCTCCCTAACTGCTTTCCTCCAAATGGTCTACATTTTACAAAACATCTAAACGGTCCCCTATTTTTGAAACTTCCAAAGATGTAAGTCACTAATTTGTTAGTGTTTCCTGTTTAGAATGAAAGCAGCTGGAGATGCAGAGAAGAGAGCGGAGCTGCACCAGTGGAAGATGAGAATCTGGAGTCATCTCAGCTTATAAAAATACAAGTCAGTACGCTAAACACTGAACAAAGACCCAGGGTATGGGATATTTAAAAATACTTTTCTTTTGGATCAGCACCAAAAAAATATCCTTAGCTTCTGTATTACCTATGTCCAGCTAAAGTTACCTCTGATAAAAATCACAAGCTCTGCATCATTCACCACAGATGCATCCAAACACCTCTCAAAAACATTTGACATCAAGGTTGGGCAGGTCACCTGGAAGAAAACTGTGATGCATACAACAAAATTTCTGTAGTGAGACATCTGCTCTCTATATGGGGTATTTTACATCTCATACTTAGGAGGCACTGGTACTTTGAAGCTTAAGAAAATCACTAAAGCCATTAAGACGGAGGTGAAGAGTTTGTACAGCCTTCCACGATTTCAAAGAGGTAGTGATAGATGCTTGTCCTCCTGGCGATATCGGAAGCAGTTTCTTGTGAGTTGTTCTTCAGCCCTGGTTTGATGTAGCGATTCATCAGGAGGAGTTCCAGGGTGTCCCTGCTGTCTCTGTTCCCAGCAGCAAGATGCAAAGGGGTCAAGAGGCCTTTTGTTTGGGCGTTGACGTCTGCATCATGCTGAAGTAAGAAAGAGGCCACCCTGGTGTTATTCCACTTACAAGCACTGTGCAGTGGTGTCCAGCCATCCACAGTCACTGCATGAACATCTGCCCCCTGAGCCACTAGTTCACGAACAATATCTAAGTGTCCACTGTAGGCTGCTCGGTGAAGAGGGGTATACTCATCTTCATCCCTAGTGTTCACTTCAGTGGCCTTCTCAGAGAGTAGTCTCTGCACTGTAGCAAGCTAAGGAAAAAGAGAACTTTTAAAAGTCCAACTCAAAGCAAAACAGTCAACAAAGATAATTACATCATCCAGTGGCTTTAGACTTTAAGATTCTCTTTTAGGGGGAGAAGGTAACTAATGATGAACAAGTTACAGCTCATTACACTCAGGTGCATCTCAAGAATGATTCTCTGAATATCACACCATACATTAATCCTATTCTAATAAATGTTTATTACTCAGGCACTGAGTAATAAACTGTATATTTCACCTGTGAAGCAAATTTAACTTTCCTATAACAGATTATATCAATATACATAGTATATGAAGCAAAAAATAAAAATGAAACTTTAACAGTAGAATAAAGTGATGCTTCAGCAGCCCAGAGACTAAAGAGCTCAACTCCTCCTATAGACAAACTCACAGACATGTCACGTTGCTGGGCATCAAGGTTTGATCTATGAACCTCTGGTAAAATACATTGTACTCTGGGATCTAAAAGCTATTGTAAAGTGTAAAACCCTTTCAGTTTTTAGTTTACCAACACAGACATGGGAGAACTTAGTAAAATTAAGTACAAATGGTCAATCGGGAAGAACTGATTTTGGGTACTGTTTTTGGATGACTCTGGGCAAACATGCCTTGCCTTCCTTGTAGGGCTTTGTGAGGACTAAATAAGTGCAGTTAGACACTTGATGGAGTTGTCCTCTAAGTTAATTTCTATCTTACCTATCCTTAGCGATACTTACCTACAGAATGATCCTAATGATTTAATCAGAGGGTTGTTTATAATTACCCTCAAACCTCCCAACACCTAGTCGTTTATAATGTAGTGTGCACTTTTATACACACTATTTCATTTGACACTCCTACATGAGACAAATATTAAGCTGTCATTTTTAAAGACAAGAAATTAAAAGGGTCAGAAATGGTGGAATATGCCCAAAGATAAAGACAGAGGTTCAGGGGCAGGTCTTTGGACTCCAAACCAAATGCTTTTCCAGCTCTGTAATAGTTTCTTTCTTTTTTTTTTTTTTTTACCCGATTTTTTTCAGCAGCCCAAAGAAGCAATTTGCTTGGATCTTTTTCCATTTTTTTCTCTTGCAATTGATACCACTCTTCATGTTTTTCCTCTTGCTCCTCATCTTCATCAGAATCGCCTACCCAGAGACTCTGAGTACCAGTGGGAATCAGGTGTCCATGGGTTTCCAACAATTCAAGCTGATTAAACTGTTCAGAAAAGTCCAAAGAGCTTTCTGGGTCTGGTTTTTCACCATCCCTTACTTTTTCTTTTTCCATTTTTGCTACTATTCTAAATAAAAAGCATTTCAACCACTCCGGCAATCTTTCTTGAGACAAATTATGTTCGCATTGTTTGACTCGTTCCAATCTGAAAACACAAACATAAGTGTTAGACATTATTAACCGGGCATCATCAACATGGATACCAACCTTGCAGACAAGACAAATAAACACTGTCATAAACTCTGGTGTTCTCTCATAATACCCATTACATTTACTAAATACTGGACCTCAGAGGGTTCTGTTATTTATGATCATTTACAGTCTTTATTTTTTTTTAAAAAATGTTTTCTTCTACTAAGGGGCTACAACTATCTTAATTTGACTATTAATTTAGGTATGTTAAGATGGATGGAGTCCAGGTACAGTGAGTACACAGGAGGGTCATAACTCACCCAGTCCTAAAAGATGTAAGTGTTCCTGTGGGCAGAGATGATTACTCTGCTAGCCTGCCACATTAATTCAGAAATCGACATCAGCTTAAAGAGTTACCCAGAATATAAACTTCAATTAAAGAAAACGAGAAGTTACGTTGCAAACCATTTATCAGTCTCTTAACTATATTTGTTGAACTTTGCTATTTTCAAATGTTACCACTTCCATTCTCTGTTGAGCCAATTAAGATTTCTCTAATGTTTGTTCTCTGAGGTGCTATGTCTCATATTTTTCTGCCATTAACATTTTAAGGATACACCATCTTCAACTTAGATTTCTGTGCCATTTGTATGGAACTTGCATTAAGAACTATTTGTATCATTGAACTTAAGATCTATCATTTAATTTTGCTTTGAATGGCCTCTAAGAGAAACTAGTCAGTTATACATACTCCTCATGATTTTGTTCTACTTAATTTCATGTGTTTAACATTCTGTTGTCCTAGTAAGCTTCATTACTAGTGACAAGAACACCAAAATCATGACTGTATCTTCTTAGGGCCTATAACTGTATTGTAAAATGTTAAATTCCACTAAGGGGTTTTTAAGGTCTTGACCAGACTCATGTTTTAAAAGAGCTATTAGAACTATTTTCTTGCAGTTTTCATGTCCTTTCATATTAAACTATTTTCTAATAAGTTACTATATGTCAGGTCAATTCATTAAACGCTTAACATGTCGTTAACAACATATAACAGCACAGGTTTCAGCCCCCTTCCCACAGCTTTCCTTATGAAAACACATACTGATTCTGACTTTACCGTTTCAGATGTAAGCTATATATAATCGTTTTGGTATATTTCATTTAAAAATAAAACCCAGATGTATCTCCTGATTCAAGGTATAAAACTTGATGCATACTATAATGAAGGAATAGGGTGTTCCCTACATTTTCAGAGAGATACGAACTGTTCCGATTCTCATCTCAGTGAGATGGAGCCCCACGCCCCATTTCGGAGGACTGCGCTGAGATTCTGACAGTTTAAGACAAGTCGCGGTACATCAGGACCTGCTGGGGTCTGGTCTAGTTCAAAGTTCCACATTATTTTTACTGCACTCTTTTCAAGGTTCTCTCAGCATACAAAGCAAGCAAGGCAAAAGTGGTGAGGCGGAGATTCTGAGACGATCGTCAGGGGCAGCAGGGAAGAAAGGCCTTTCGTCTAGCGGGAGAGGGCTTCCGAATCCCAAATCGAAGAGGCTGCCTCGGTGCTACCTACGACGTGGCCCGCCACCCACGGCTGCCCGCACCGCCGCTCCGGACACCCGCCTCACCTTCCACAGAGAGAACCTCGCAGAGAACATCGTTTCCGGGTTCGCCCCTCTGCTGCCTATGATTGGCTCCTTAAGGGGGAGGAGCCAGTCTGGAACCAATGGGAGACTAAGGAAGACCTGTGCCGCCGACGTCATCAATGGATCTCGCGAGAAGGACGGACGCGCCTCTCCCGCGCCTAATTCAGGTTTCTGGTTGCGGTATTCTTGTTCTGGGGACTCCCGCCCTTTTTTTCCGAGCTGGAGATGACCTGTGGTCTCGCTGGTGGGCTCTGATGAGTTCAGGCTGGGGTAACTTAGGCCTCGTTCCGGTTTTTGCGTGGGGGCTCACGGCGGAAGCCCCGAGTGCGTGGGGCCGTTGAGGAAGAAGGGCCGGGTGGGCCGGGTGGACCGGGAGGGGTGCGGGCTCTGCGTTCCGGTCGGGAGTCCCGCGGGGGCAGGGTCGTCTGTGGTGGCAGCGTCGGCTTCGCAGTGACCACTCCGAGCTGTCACCTTGGCTCTGAGAGCTGCTCCACGCAGACCACGTGTTTGGTTATTTATTCTAGCTTTAAATGTGGGCTTCCCCATAAAAACCCTGTTAGTGTTAAGTGTATGTGGTGGCCTCTCCTCCAAAGCCCTGCGTAATTGCAGCTTAAATTTATGCATGTAAAGTGACGTTTGAACCTCTCTGTCCAGGGATTTACTACACATCAATCTCATGAGGAAAACAGGAGAGAAGTAGTCATGATAATGACTTTCTCTTATTCTTAGGTCATGAAACAATTATAGTAAGTGTTGAAGATGAAAACTAGTCTTTCTCAAAATTGCCGGTGCTTATTTAAGAAGTTTACCCCGCAGCTGAACTCACGTTAGTGAAATACATGCAACCTTTATAAAATGTGTATTTTAATATTTATTTTTAGAATTTGGAATCGGGTGGCTTTTCTGACATACCTGAACACAGGACCCCAGGGTACTTGGAGAGGAACCTGGCCTCAGAGGAGCTCTACCATAAAAATGAGTCCCACAGATCCACTGTAAGCCTGACATATTAACTGTGATGACCTTAAGAGAAAACTTGGCACTTTAACAAAAACAGCACAGAACTTGATAATGAACAGAGTATCACCAAAACATGCCTGGCGTTTTTTAAAAGAGCATATTGTTTGCTTATTATCAAAAAGATAATATGGAGGGAGCTGTTAGAGGAGTGTGTTGCAGTAGTTTATTACATGGCCGTGCAGGAAAACTCATGCTCTTATGCTTTGTTTAAATTGCTGAGTCTATAAATAGTCTTTTAGAGTAAGTTGCTATAGTACTGAGTAAGTTGGAATTAATTTGAATGAAATGGAAATAAATAAAAGGACTATAGAAGTTAAGTTGTGGGGAGGGGCTTGCACATGGATGGGATCTTCCACTCTGGTTTCAAGTTCTTGGTCAAAACTGGCTGTGTGTTGTTAGGAAGGTCAGCAATTCTCTGGGCTTGCCTTGTTTTGTTTTTCATTTGTGTAACTAGAATAATTGAGAGAATTTATGTGAAAATGCACACACTCAGGAAAAGTGTAGCTGTGTGAGCTGAGAAGTTTGTGGAACAGCCAGGACTCATGCACACAACTGTTGACGCTTCTGAGTCCTGGAGTTGTATTTTGAATTCATGATAACTCAGTGGAGATAGCCTGACATTTTTATGCCCTTTAGTCTTGTTTCTGCTACTAGTTGTATGGTGAATGAGTTATCTCTGTGTCTGTCCTTTTTCTTTTTCAGAGATAGTGACCATGCCTGCCTCTTTGTATGTGGGGACTGAGATGAGATCTTAGATATGAAAGTATCTTAAAGAACTAAACTTAACGCTAAGTTTAGTGAGTGTTATAATGGTTAAGTGAGAGTAGTAACTTATGGTTAAGCTACTGGCTCACATGAAAATACCTTTATCAAATTGTGTTTGGATTTAAACAACTCTATTTTGTTACTTGGCGAAATTATCGAAAAACTGTGGAGAGCAGAGTCAGGCAGATGTTTTCTGGGTTTGGGATGTAAGCAACCAGTATTTTAGTATAAAATCTACTCTTAAACCGAGAGGAAGACTTTTAAATGACTTTCCCAGAAAAGTGTAAGTCAGATAATGAGGGAGCAAAGCCTTTAGGTTTTTGTGTAGTAAAGTAGGGAACAGATCTGATAGTGTATAAAACTGGTTTTAACAAGGCTATGAATTTTCAGAGCAGACAGGGAACACTTAGAAATGTCACTCACATCTGCTCTGTATTGAATTCGAAATAGAAAACTGTGATGTTAAAGATCTGTTGAGTACTGCAAACTTTCGTGCCAAGTCTTGAGGCTAGAAAAATGATTTTGCTTTACAATTGCTATTATTTATTTCATGTTTAGGTCTCCATTTGCTTGAATATTCTTTTAATGAATTGCATTGAATTTTGTTTTTTTTTATACAGTGACGATGAAGACACATTTAAAATCCTGGTTGCTACTGATATTCATCTTGGATTTATGGAGAAAGATGCAGTTAGAGGAAATGATACATTTGTGACACTTGATGAAATTTTAAGACTTGCCCTGGAAAATGAAGTGAGCTGGGGTTACATTTGTGTGTATTCTACTGTACTTCCTTGGATAACAGGCTCTTTTCCATTAAGTTAGAGTTAATTGTGTAATCTCATGCAGTCACATTTCCTGGCTAAATATCAATGTACTAAAAGCCCAGTTAAAATTTTGAGTACTTTGTGTTCATAATTGGAGCAGAAACTACTTTGACAAATAGCCTTCAAATTTAGAAACATAAGGTGTTTAATGATACACTAACCTGTTTCGATTTCTACCTGAAATAAAAAGATGGCTATTCGTTTTCAAAGAACATATAGCCAACTGGAATGTGAGACAAAAAAGCCCAAACATTCAAGTACAGGGTTATTTGTGGAAAGGCCATCAGAAGCACCATTTCCTGGGACTTCAGAGGTAGAGGAGACTGGTGTTTAGATGAGACTAGTCACATGAGCTTAATTGAGGAGGTGACATTTAACATGTGTTGAAGGAGATGTAGTCTTTAATACTGGGTGGCACAGAATGGACATTCAGTGTGAAGCAGAAATGAAGGCATAGGTATAAGATAACATGGAGGATGTTAGGTGACTGGTTTGGCTCGCCTGTGTGCCTGAGAATGTAGCTTAGTTGGTAGAGTGCTTATGTACCATGCAGAAGACCCTGGGTTTGATCCCCAGCACTATATAAAACTTGAGTGTCGTGGCATACCTTAATCCCAATACCGAGGGGGTGGAGACAGGAAGTGACTTTGAGGCCAGCTTAAACTGTATGATTGAGACCCTGTATTAAAAAAAGTGCTGAAAAACTGGAATTGAGAGTATTTGAGCTGTATTAATGAGGAGAGCTGCAAATGTTAGACTCAGTTTGTGCCCTGTGCAGTAGAATGTCTTCTGGTGGCCTGGTATTGCAGCAGATATTGGAGAGCATTTTAATGCTTTTAAAAACTGATGGTATTCGCTGTAGGCTTTTCTACAATATAGCCTCTAACAAAACTAGGCTGTCTTGAACCCCTGGCAACAGGATTATTTACCTTTATACCAAGAAGGTTGGGAAAGCACCTAAATCTGCATGCGGTGTGTGTCCAGGCAGGCTTCGAGGGGTTTGTGCTGTGAGACCAAAAGTCCTTATAAAGTTGTCTAAGACGAAGCGTGCCTGCAGGGCCTACAGTGGGTCCATGTGTGCCAAGTGTGTCCGTGACAGGATCAAGTGGGCTTCCTTTTTGAGGAGTAGAAAATAGTTGTGTAAGTGTTGAAGGCACAAGCACAGAGTCAGAAAGTGAAATAAATATGCAGCTTTTTTAAGATAATGAAGGTCAAAGCTTGGTTAAAAAAAAAAAAAAATCCCCAAAACTGGTGGTATTGGTGTAGAAAAGAGAAAGTAAATATGAGAGAAGTTACAAAGAGAAGGTGTACATACATTCATTCTCAGGATTTGAAAATGAGTCAAGTCTGTTGAACCTGGGCGGATGATTGTGGCATTGCTAAAAACCACCTAACTGAAGGAGAATCTGTCATGCGGGAAGGTGTGGAACTTTGATGTGACACCAGGATAGAGTTGGAGATTGCAGTGGGGGAGCGTCCCAGCAGGTCGATGCCTGTCCACGGAGCCCAGGAGGGAGCAGGAGAATAACCATACAGGTGCCCTGCCTCCCCAGCAGTTTCCCTTCAGCTTACATGTGAGACCTCTGGTGTCCCTGGAGTTAGTTCTACAGCCCTCCTCACTGTCCTGTCCGGCCCGTAACAATACCAGCATAGCTTCTGTCTCACTCGTCCCGGAGTCCAGTCACTCCAGTTGGTCTTTCTGCTTCACACTTGCCTCCTGAGTGTATTCAGCATCATAGCCAAAGCAAAAGCCATCCTCAGTCAGACCCTGTCACTGTGCTCTAAACCTTCCCAGAAGCCTTCATTTGAATCTAGATTCAGACTCACATACAAGGCTATGCCTTGACCTTGGTCCTGCCAGGGCTCTGGATTGAATGCTACCTGGTTCCTGCTACGAGTCCGGATCCTTATAACTTGACCTTGGTCCTCCTAGGGCTCAGGATTTCTGGTTGCTCTGCCTGGTCCACACCAGTGGGTTCTTCTCTATGACCTTATAAGTCAACTTTTCTGATTTACCACCTGGCTTTGGGCAGGGTTGACATCTCACTTCACATTTTACTTTTGGGGGGTGTGGGATGGGGGTTTATTGAGGTGGTCTCATGGTCCATGTTGCCTTTGAACTCATACTGTAGCTGGCTGCAACCTTGAAATTCTGGTCCTCCACCTCCTAAATGCTGGTTTATAGGCACTTGTCACCATGCGCAACCATGTTTTACCTTTTTGAAGAGATTTTCTTTCATACCTCCAAGCACTCTGTGACATTATGCTGCCTTTTTTTATGGCCTCATGAAATTACTTTATTGTTTACATATCATTTATTTTGTTCCCCTATGGGAGAAATTCTATGATAGTAAAGTCTGTTG